GTCAAAATGGTCCTTTCTTATCTGTTGTCTTTTACTAATTGTCACCATAGATAGAGTGTAATCACAATAAACAATATTTGTATTTTATCATCCAGAAAACAAAGATGTCCAGCCTGCTTTTTGCTAGGTATGTGTTTGTTTATTTTTCAGTCCCAGAAAATGCAGAAGATCGAAGACCATGGACATGCATTCCTGAATTGGTTGGCTTAGAGCCAGGGAGCATAAGGAGAGGTTGATAGTTGAGAGGTTGTAGTGCCATTCAGACTATACTTCCTTCACCAGTAGAAGCTTGGGCATCTTTAGGTCGCACTTGAGCATACTTCATGAGGACGAGGTGTCTGCTGAGTGAGAATGGGAAAGAGAGGAAAGAAGATTGTCTAGGAACATTAAGACGTTTTACTGCATTTAAGAATTCTTCTGATGAGGGGATAAGATTTACAGCTTGTTTAAAGGGATTTCAACATTTGTCACAGTTATAATCCATACATACATTGAAATAAATCACTTCAACAGTAATAGAGTGTGATACTAGGCTGTTTGGGGAGCTGCATAAAATGATTATAAATCAAGGTAGAAAGGACTTTGGGAAAGTTATGAGTGGTTGGAGAAAGCAGTAAAATGAGAACTTTCATGGCAACAGTGTTCAAAATGACGCTGTATCTCCTCTGACGGGAAAAGAAACGAATGAGGAACATGTAAGAGGAGAGTAGGGCTGTGGTTGGGAAAGGGATAGAGATGGGATAGGGAGGTGTACAGAGGAACTTTCGGCTCTGAGCTTCAGCTTTGAGCTCTGAGCTTTGCTTCAGTGTTGAGCAAAATTAGAGTTTTGTAAGGTGGTAAGATGGGTTCAGTACCTTTACAGAAGCCATGGATACCCTCTTCTCCTCATGTTGGTACTGTGCCCCCTTTGCAGCATATTTCAGCCTAACAGAAACAGGGGTTGGAAGGGCCGCCTGAAGGTGATCGAGTCCAACCTCCCTCATAGCAGGATTGCCTTCAACACTAGATCTGGTCAACCGTTGCTGTGTCTAGTTAACTCTGGAATGAATAACTGCAGAACCAGTTGTTGAAGACTCTTTTCCTTAAGTCCATCCCAAAGTGAGAAATGCAGTGCGGAAGTCTGCAATTGCAATTAGGATTGAGAATGTTTTTTAAAAAATAGTAACTTAGGGTCTTTTTGATCATTAACTATGAGAAGAAAAAGAAATAATGGTACTAGCTGTTGAAAACTGCCAGTGCAGCACCAGAGAACTTCTTATTGGCTTAATATGCACATTTGGACATGATGCAGAGTCAAATGTATGTCTTTATTTCTTATCTCTAGAAATGCTTCATTGATGTGGGAGAATGAAATATAGACGTTCTTCTAAATTGAGTGTTCTCATAAGAATTAGATTGGTCTTCGTTAATGGTGCAGAAATCTTCATTAATGGGCATAAGACAGTTGGCAGAGACTGCCCAGTCTGGCATTCCAGATGGCAATTTACAATACAAGTTTGGAAGAAAAAAAAAAAAAAAACTCTTTGAATGAAGGTAATATAGGTCCTCATCTGTCATTTCCTTTATCTAAGTGAGATTTGTGCAGGGAAAGCAAGATTCTCAGCAGGCAGTAATGGTCTCTGAAAAGAATCAGGATATGAGTTGACTTCACGTCATGTTAATGCTGAGTGGAAATTTAATGCAGAACAAGGGAGTACAAATTCCTGGAATAGCAGAAACTGATCATGGGGCCAAGATTTCATCCTTTAACAAGAAAGCTTTAATAAATTTCAACAACATTATAGATCAGAGAGAAAGGTGAAAACATGGAGCCATTTGTATCTTTCTGCTAGCTCCTGTGCTTTTGATTCAAAAAAGGAATATGCTACATGTTGACGCACCACCAAGACAAGTTCATACCACTAAAAAGGCAGCCTTCAGCATGAGTATTGTTTTAGCCTAGTCAAAGTTGTGGCTAATTGATTAGTGCTTCCTATCTGTCTCCCTTTTTCTTTTTTTTTCTGTCATTAGCCATCGCTGTCAGATTGCAGTGGTCACTCAAGCATGAATGTCACCACAAATTTGACTGGTCTTCTGCTGTGCTCTCTTGTTCTACTCCGTGCTCTATGCAGTTGTGCCCATCTAGGCTTCCTTTTGCTTTGTTTTTCACATTACTTTTTGAAGTGGATCAGCCTTGCAGAAGCAAGTGAGAAATCAAATCAGACAATAGTGATAGGACTTGTTGAACAGAGATACAAACAGAGCCATTTCCCAAACCTCCTGACTGTCTTTGGTATATATGTTTTCATTCTTACAGCTCCAAATCTCTAAGTCCTTAATCATTCCATAGGGTGACCTGGAAGATAACACCATTTTGCTTGACAGATGAGATTTTGCTAAAATATATTTTTTCTTATTTTTCTATATTCTCTCTATATGTATGTTTTTAAGAGAGTGACATGCTGATGCTCTTTCATTTTTTTTTTTTCACTGCCTCAATAATTTCCACTGGGGGATTGTTTCCTATATTTGCCAGACTCTCTTCCAGTGATAAATCTTTACAACCACACCACTACTTCCCTGCTTGACCTGACCTGAGAAGTCAGCCATGATGGCCCTTTGATAGAGTCCTAATTGAGTCTACTCATGCGATGAGTTTAGAACACAAATCCTCTTGGTAAAGACTGACCAGTTTTTCCTCACTAATCCATCACTTTCTTTTTATCTCTAGTTTGTTGTAAATCACCATATAACATGAAAAAGCAAACCACAATTTGAAACAGGATTTTTATAAGCTCCCTTCACATCTTGTAGCAGCCATGCACACATGTGTGGGAAATACCAATTCTGTAGCCTTAACAGCAGAATGCTTCAAGTTTTGGAGCTGTAAGACAACACAGCTCTCTGATGCTGCTTCCAGAACTACGGTTAGCTTAATTTCCCTCTCCTCTCTGCTGACCTTAATTGGGAGTTTTATTCACCTCTTTACTGTGTGCGTATAGGCCAAAGAAGTGCTCATCAGTCAGCGCTGGTCTCTAGCAGTCTGTCTGAACCTGTTCATATAATATTTGCATGATTGCTGTCTGTATGTTTTAACGTAGCTTGCTAGGAAAAAGAAGCTGAAACAGCGCTCCCTCCCTGTAGCAGCTTTGAAATTTACATGCCTGTCCCAGCAGAAAGGCAAAGATCTTTTTTAATATCCTCACCGAGAGAAACTATAGCAAGCATTTAGTCCTTATCAGACATCAGAGAATTGATATCCAGGATAATATTTCTGAAATTCCAATATCACCTGGAGTTTATACCACCTTAAGCACCAGAGAATTTAATCCTCAGACAAGACTTCTCTCTCTTGTACGGATTCTCTGTTGCCTGATAAGGGGCCAGCTCATACTACAGATTCAATATAACTGAGTCAAAAAACTGTTAATCAACTGCAAGATAACAAGTACATAGGAAGAAGACCTTCATAAGTTCCACTCCTGACAGAATTATTTCTTTTGGGTTTTAATCAACATCATATATTTCTGTTGCAGAGAGAGGTATGCCTTATACTTAATATAACAACTGTAGCAATTTACCATTTCCCACTGAGATCTGAGACCATTTCGTTAACTTGTAATGGACTTATACATAAGCTGTCCACAAATATTTAATTCCATCATGGTATTTGCCATGTTCTTAGTATGCATGGGAGAACAGAAGGAAAGAGATTTAATGAAAGTGAATGAACTTCAACCTTGAATCTAAGTGTACTGCCTTGGCATATTAAGGCACTTTAATGTGAAATAAGTACATTTCTGCAAAATTTAACTAATTTATCTGTGAGGTAAATATTCAATGTGTTAACTGTGTAAACGAGAACTGTAAAATGAGAAACCGCCTGAGTAGTCTAGCATGATTTTGCATTTGTGGCCAGTGAGCATGTGCATGTGATTAATAGAGTTTATCCATGCAATACCTCTCTTCTATTAATTGTTGCTCTTTATTTATTTACTGTCATTCAAATAAGAGGAGGATGCAGTCTGGCCAAGATCTGCATTCCTCTGATTTCTTCTCACTGCCATTCCTTTGCACCAGGTCAGACACCATAACGTGAGCTCCTCCAGTGTGCTGCCGTGGCTGAGGCTAGGAAACCTGAATGATACACTTGGAATTGCACACAAGAACAAAAATAGGCTTACAGCATTTTAAATGGCAAGTGTTTTCTGTGTGAGAACAGAGCATTAGTAGGTATGCGAGTACAGTGCCTGCTACAGGCTTTCCAAGTACCTGTGAACGGTCCAGAATATGTGGAATAACTACATGAGCCTTTATAGTTAGTACTGACCAGATTCAAAATGCTTCAGGCATTCTATTCTAAGAGGATCCATCACAACTGCTATTTTTTTTTTTTGTGGATATAGCAAGCAGAGATGATTTTAACCAGGATTTTTTGCTAATATATTATCTTACTGAGCTTCCTTGAACAGGCATTTCTTTGTTGGGTAATGCACCATTAAAATTGTACCTTTATTACTGTTCTGCTGATTCAGACTGTGTGGATAAATCTATCATCCATTCTCACTGCTTAATAACCAGCTATCACAGTCTCTGTAATCTAACACTTTCATTAGACTCCCAAGTAGTACACAAAAGGATAGCAAATGATCCTGGAAATTCTTTCACAGATAGATAAATGGTACTAATGATAAAATAAGTTATTAGCACTGTAATGTTAATGATAATTAGGGACCATTACCTGCTCTTGAAGCTGGCTCTTCCCTTTCTCCATAGGTCTGACTGTCTTCTATCTGTCCATCTGTCTTTCTCAGAAGAATTAAAAAAGACACCCACACAGGCTGCAGAGATTTGAGGGAAACTGTTTGTATTGTTTATGGAGCTTTTTAAGTTCCATAAGTTTAAGCTGTCAGGAAGCAGGCTAGATTAGGAAAAGTTTGTCTGGTTTACTAGCTCAAAACTGTTGAGTAATGGGGAATACATTATACCACGAAACTAATGTTATTTACATTTTCTTTTAGGAACGTCTCTTGATGAGTCTTTTGCCCAGGAATGTTGCAATGGAAATGAAGGAAGATTTCCTGAAACCTCCTGAAAGGATTTTCCACAAGATTTACATTCAAAGACATGACAATGTTAGGTAGGATTGATGTAGCCCATGAAATAATTTTTAAAAGAGAGCATTTAATACAAATAGAGTGACATGCAGGTGCAATCAGAGGTTTGAGTATAAAAAGCAAGCACTACAGTACAAATTTGTTGTGTGGGAGCTGGCAGAGAATAGGCCCACTAAACAGACTGAATAATCTTTTCAGAAGATAATGTTGAATCAATAAATAGCTTAGAATAGTGATGCTGAGAGCAGGACACCTTTTTCAAATAGGTAGTCGTTCCATGTACTATGTTATATTCCTGATGAATAGGAATATTTATGTTGCATGTTCAACACATTTATGCTTTCCTGAAAATAAGACAGATTATTTTTAGTACTTTTTTTTTGCAGTGTAATAGCATGAACGGGAAGGAAGAAAGTGTGGTGTAAACTTTGGAAAAAATACATCAGTGCCCATCATATCAGCATTCCTCCTCAGGGGTTGTTGACTGGGGTCTGCTTCTTGCTCAGTGACAGACCATTCAGCAAGTGGCCCCATGCACATTGGTAATAGAGTAGAATGTATTCTTCTCATCTTTAACACCCATATTCTGAATGAGCTGTAAGCATACAACCCCATGAAGCTCATGGTGTATAACTACATTAGCAGTGATAATGACAGTCTTTGGTAACTCTTAATAAGCAAGATATGTTCCCTACCTACTGAGGGAATTGGAAACAACTTCACATCCTCTGTAATGGAAATTCAGTGCCATGCTAGGCAGACATAAGAGACCGTTCCCCTATTCAAGACTTGCCCTGGTTATACCAAGCATTCCGCAACACAGTATTATTAAAACAAACCAAACAAACAAACAAACAAAAAAAAACCCCAGCTTGTTAGCTCTGAGTTTCCAGAGCTTCTAATCCCAAAGCTACATAGTGGAAATTGGAAAACCTTCTCCACTTAATTGTGGTATTGTATGTGGCTTACTGGGTTGTGCTAAATTGGTGTGAATATCTGAGGTTATGCATCCTTTCTGCATAAAGAGTGTGTAGTAGGAGCTGTTCATCAGTCATTGTAGAGGAAGTTGTTATATATTTTGATTCTAGGCACTGTTTTTTTTTTTCAAGCCTTTATTGAAAAAGTTCTCTCTTCAGAAAGCTGGATTATTTATTAGAGATTAGAGCTAGAGATTCATTAAGAAGTGGGAAATATTCCAGAATCGGAGAGAAAGAAGGAAGTCTTCTTCTAGGAGGTATTTTGTAGCAAACTTTTAAGTGTTTTGAAATGACACAAACTTGAAATTTATTTGTAAGAAGTAACTTCTTAAGACTATTATGAATGTTTGAAGATGTTTTGGAATAATTTATTGTAAGATCATTTAGTGATATTGGCAATGAAAGCCATTTAAGTATAAAATACTGTTAATCAAAAATCTGGATAGCTTTCTGTCAGAAATAAGCTATTTTTCCAATAAACATAGAAAGGCAACTACTGCAAAATTGTTTTTAAAAATCAGTGTTTTCGCTGAGGAGTAAGCTAGTATCTAGAAATCAATACGCTAAAAAAGTGCTTAAAAATAATAATCAAATAAAAGCTAAAATATTGTTATACAAAATAAGAAGTTATTTTAGCATGATTTTGCCAAGTAAGAGTGGTAGGATGTTTCAGAAAAGAGTGTTGTAGTTTGAAGCAGGGGCAAATTTGGTAAGAGATGAATCCCCTTGCATTCCAGCTGATTCTCAAAGGTTAGAGGGACTGGAAGTGTTGGACTCATCTCTTAACAGTGATACCAAATACTGTGGTAGCTATAGGCCCAACCCTCACAATACCGGATTCATGAAGGTCTGATCACCTTCAACGCATCAAATCAAGTTCACAAATAGTATGATCAACTATAGGCCCATCTCATGAACAGTTTGTTTACTGTAAGTCTGAGCGCCTTCAAAACAATAATTCGAGTTCACAAACAATATGATTTATTCAAATGGAACATTTAGAAAGCCGGTTTTGTATGTCTATACAGGAAATTATCTACTACCATGTGGGGTTATTAGCTAGTGCCTAGTGTATCAATACACATTTAATCACTCACCCAAGAAGATAGGGGAGGGCTTTCAAACTCCTGACCAGTCTCCTCCTGACCTGAGGAGAGGAAAGGGGTTCAGCCCATTGACTGATACAGAAGTTATAATGGAGTCTTCCCTCTTCCTTCTTCCTACTATTTCCCTCCTTAGTTCACCTTTTATGTGTTTTCTTTTACATTTAGGTGGAGCTTGAGTGACTCTAGTTATACTTACTTTCATTATTGATTGCTTTAAAAAGTCTTTTGAGGCAATTAAAAATCTAAAGAGCCTGCTCAGTGAGAAGTGGTTGTTCCTTGGTGGACAACTTTTGGTTATTGGTAAAAGTTTGAGCAAAGTCCATTGGAAGGAACTGATCTGCCACCGTTGTTGGCCCAGCATCAGACATCTTAGTGTACTATGCACCTTATCAGCTGCATTGTACCACCAGGTTGCCACCTCCACAGGGAGTACAACAGAGTTTAGCCATGGTGTCTTTACTCTGCTCCACCCTCCATTCACTCAACAGCTCCATGGCACCTTCAGATTACCACCTCCACAGGAAAGCCAACAAAGTTTGGCCAAGATGTTTCCATTTTGCTCCACGCTTCGTTTACTCTTATTAGTATGTGTTTGGAGGGCAGATTGTGTTGCCGAGGTAATCATGGAGAAGTAGATTCCATACATATCAACCATCCTGGAATTGGTAACTGTCTCTAACCTCAAGCCTCTGTAATGCCATTATTTCTGCTAGGCCCTAGTTTTTCTCCAATTTCGTCTTCTTGAGCAATTTTCGCAAAAAGAGCCTCACAAATTTAGTGTAAAAAATGGGCTTTAGCCCTGCTCTGAATGCTCCAAGAACAACCCAAGAGTATCTGTGCTCACACACTGCTGTTATTCGTGGGCAGAAGGTGTTACTGGAACGAGTTATGAGAGTTTTAGGGCAGTGCATGGGTAACCATGGTTATTACTTCAAAATAGACAATGAGTAACAAAAATATGGCTTGTGATAGTGGATCTGTTCCTCTGATCTTCTGCAAGGAAGCAAACAGAAATAGGAGCAGGCAAATCTCCTGCACAGGATAGTGCTGCTCCTACAACACAAACACTTCACTCAGGGATTAAAATCAGATGAACAAAAGTTTGACAAAGCACTGCTCAGTAACTGATTATTTTTCCTGTCTAAGATTTAACTGGAATATTGAGACACTATTGCAGTGCATGTCACTGGGAACTTATCTGCCTAAAAGGCAAAGTAATTTAAGATTTTAACGGATTATCCAAACTACTGACCCTATCAACTTACTAAAATCTTCACGTGAACAGAAACTACAGGCCAAATACTACATATCCCAGAGAACCTAAGGAATACAGTGTTTTTAGTATAGCACCCAAGCAAGAGAGAATGGTAACTTCTCAGGGTCCCCTTGGTTCAGTTGTGGGACCAAGTAATGAGAGTATTGCAGAGTCCCTGGGTAATGAGGCAACACCAGTCTTACTCCCCTAGTAACTACCTAGGCTGGCTGACCATCACATCGTATACCACTTGCGAGGAGAGCTGCTCTTAAATCACATGCAAGTCTCATCATCGAGCAAACAGAAGCAACATTTGTTCATTGTTTTCACTTCTAATTTTCTTTTCTTTCTTTAGTAGTCACAGTTTAACTGAGATTGTCTCATTGTTTTTTAATGAGAGTGTCCCCCAAGGCACAGTTGAGAGTTCTGTGGAATTAAAGAAGGGAAGGTCATATCCCTGAGAAGGCATTAAGAGAACCAAATGCTAACATGTAGCTTGTCATTGTTTTTTTGCTATATACTTCAATGCTCTTTTCCTTTAAGAGGACAAATACTTGGCAATCGGAGTGAAGTGCCCCTTTATATACTGTGTAATTGTATGGATTCTTCCATGCCTAAGCAGGGTAGCCCTAGCTCACTCCAAGCTAGTCCTTGAGAATGCAGACCTTCATGATGATCAGCAATTAAGTTAAGTAAACCAAGGCTACTTTACTCTTGAATGACCATATGTACATCAGTGTAAATCAATGTGTGTGAGAGATCAACATTAATGTCGCTATTAGAGTTAATTTTATTAACTTTCCTAAGTATACCAATGTAGACCCAGCCTAGGTTTAAAGTATGTTATTTTTGTGTGATAATATACCCAAATTAGAGGAAAGGGAATTTAAATATTGAATTATGTTCTTTTGACAAATAGATAGGGACTTGGACCTTTCAAATATTGCTTGGCCTTGGAAACAGTTCAAGAGTGGGTTATCAGTGCAACCCTGGTATTGTATATCTTATCACGTCTCTCTTTAGTAACCTTATGCATTCCATACCAAGCATTACAATCTGTTCTCACCAAATACAGTTCATTTTACCACCTACTGACAAAGACCTTCCGTACCCTTTATGTTCCAAAAACCTGAGCAGGGAGAAACAGAAAAAAAAAAAAAAAGTGTTGCATCAGGTGGGTGTTTTACCACTAGAGTCAGAAACACTTGTCACAGATCAAAGTTCTCTTTTTTTCCCTCCCTTTTTAAGGCATTGTACAAATAAAGAGCAAGTGTAGTTGCTGGCCCCAAACACTTGTAATCCAAGTACTAAAGGAAGAGATAACAGATGGATGCAGACAGGTGAAAGAGTGCAGAAGATAATATCAGTCAGCACGCTGGCTAAAATAAAACAGACTGGCTAATGAGTTTCAATTCCATTTTTAGAACATTAGAGCTCAGTGTGCATCAGATGGACTCTCAGCACTGCCCATCCTCTGTGTGATGATAGAGCAGGCATGCAGGCAGGGACATGTTTTGGGTCTGAGAAGCCCCTGCTCATCCACTGGAGGCTTTTTGCCTTCTCTGCCAATACCGTGATTTTGCTCTTGTGTATCTCAGCCGGCATTCAAAAGAAGTCCAGCAACTGCTATGATTTTAGCATTTTTGGAGGTAGAAGTGAGCAGAATTTCCTCTTAAAAAAGACAGGACTTATCGCATTGCCCTTTCCTTGAACTGTGCCTTGTCCAGCACTTCAGGTATTGCCATAGTTTTATAATATTATATATATACTAAAAAAATCTTATAAAAATAAATATATTAATATTTATTAAAAAAACAAAAAGCTCATGCTAGAGAAGTGTAACAGTGGTCAGTCTTCCTAACCTTTTCCAATAGTTTTACACTGTATAGTATGGTATTACATTTCCTACAAGAATAACCCTGGTCTTGTCTCAGCACACTATAATTACATATTTAACCTTAATTTTTATGTTACATCTTTGGTTTGTATTGTTTTATTGTGTCCTTGTTTTGGACTTCAGTTTGGCACATAAATACCAGTATTCTGAATGAAAAACTGATGACTAATGATTAATAAAGATGCCAGTAAATACTCTCTTAAAATTTTGAATGGATTAGTAAGGAAACTGCACTTACTTCCTGAACTAGTTTTATGTAAAATAACTTTGCTTTTAAATGAATAGTGATGCATGAATACATTTTGTGTACTTTGGTGTACATTATAGTACATGTGAAAATCTTCAAGGAATTGACAAGGATGATATGATATTGACTGATGAATTTTCAGAAAGACCAGTCTAGAGCTTCCAAACAACAAGCATGTCAAACCAGAATGAACTGGGTGACTAGATCCTCACGGGCAAATATGCAGAGCACTTTGTTGGCATTTCTGCTTTTATTGTACTCTGTTAATATCTTTTACCTCCTCCATTACCACCAGGGTGTTTCATGTTCGTGACAGCAGAAGCACAAAATAGTACAATTGAGTAAATGTTGAATATCTTATTTTTAGACGTCTCCTTTCTTTGATGTTTAGATAGAGTAAGAATGAAGTAACTAATTTTGTCATGAAGTGGGGCAGTTTTAATTAGAGTTGTTAAGCATCCTCAAGGAAGAAAAGACTGATGGATTCACCCCAAGATTTAATATGATAGGGTGTATGCTATGCTTGTAGATTAAAGCCATTAAACTTTGGAGGTTTTAGTTTTGTGCTGGGATATGTTAGCTAACTTGCTCGGGTGGAGAAAGGATTTTGGGGTTAATGGGTTAAATGGAATGGCTTTTTGTGGCTTCATGTGAGAGCTCAGACTGGGTGATGGTGGCTGGAAAATAGTAGACTTGTTAGTCCTGCTTTCTTAGCACCATTTATTTTATCTACAGCGTGAAGGCTTGTTGAAGGGGAGTGTGTAGTGTTTAAAAGCTGTGTTTTACATTATGCCCAGCATACCTAGGCCATGTGGCATGGGACTCTTCATTAGCATTTGCATGAATAAACTTATTTGATGTTTGTAGTCTGGGTGTTGGAGATAAATGTATTAGGTTTCTGCAGCTGGCAGTGGGCCTGTGCCAGTGGATGAAGGAATCTAAATAATTAAAGGGATCATAGCTTCATATGTTCTTCAGTTCCAGGGTCAACACAGGGAATTTTATGTTCTCTACGGCTATGGTATTTCTTTCAAGTATCTTCCAGTATTATCGCAGATGGATAGGGATATATTATTAAAGTAGAATAAACTGTCATATATTAAAACTTGCTGAATGCTGATCAAAGCTGGACACTTACCTGAACCATGCAGCATGGTGAAAGAATCCTGACCCAATACTGTGCATGCTAATTCTTGACTTGGGGGCTGTATAGCCACATCACAGAGCTACCATATGCAAGTTATTAAGTCATGTTTTGCAGTGCTTCATAAAGCTCAAGCCAGGTTTGTCAGTCTGGCTGTGCAACTGTGCTAGCATAAGCGCCGTGTCTGGGTACTTCCCCAGGACACTGCAAGCTCACGCTGTGGCTGGCAAGGAAATTACTGAGCACTACTTTCCTGATTTAGGTCCAATACTTAATTCTTCCAACTATTTTGCAATTGTTTGCCATTAAGCCTCATAATGTCTGAATCACATGCTTTATTACTCTTTTCAGTATTTCAGTTAATCTTCTTCTATAAAGAGAAATGTTCTACATTCCTGAAGTACGCAGAGGGTAAACTCTTGAATAAGCTGTTTTACGTTATGTATGATTTAGATGATTCTAGGGGTAATAGAGCAGAGCCCCAGGCCTCTCTTCATGTCAGACCAACAGTCGTCAACACTAAACTCATGCTTAGTTCTCTGCTTTTAATCTTTTTTTTTTCCCCAGGTAGCACTTTATTGGTAGCATTTCAGGACTTGTTTGGGTTTGAGCTCTGGGTTGCATTTGGGCTAGAGAAGAGGACAATGAGAATGCCAAAGTGTCTTCTGTACTGATATCTCTGTGTTTTCTTCCTTTTCTTTATAGCATTTTATTTGCAGATATTGTGGGGTTCACTAGTCTGGCATCACAGTGCACTGCCCAAGAACTGGTAAAGCTGCTGAATGAACTCTTTGGCAAGTTTGATGAATTAGCCACAGTAAGTACAGCATTTTTTTTCACTTCAATTCAAATTTCCTTTGCATATGGTGCATATGTTAGAAATCTGTAATAGATTGATTTAGCCCTGTGCATCATGAATTTCTAAAGTTTCTATTTTTGATTAATATTCTGAAGAGAAGACAAAGCATTTTAAATGTTTAGGAAAGAAACTAACGTTCCTATTTTTAAATATACTTTCTTCCTCCTCCTTGGAGGCTGTCAGTGTTCTTCATTGGTCTTGTTTACACAAAATGGAGAGACTATTTCAATATTTACATTTCTGTCCTACAGGGAAAAAAATAGGATAATAGAAAGTACAATGTAAAACCACTTTCCATGATGATAAAAATGTAGACACTCAAGTTAGCTCTTTACAGAGTGTAGTCCATGTCAAATAAATGATCATAGCTTTTCGGAGAAGAGATTGTAGGCAAAATGGGATCCATATTCCTGATACTTATGTTTTGATCATTTCACTTACACTGTGCCAGGTTCCCAAAGGAAAAAGAAAATGAGAGAAATGTTCCTTCTCTATGACTCCTTTCAGTCTAATGGTACTGCAGAAATACGTACCGTACATAAGCACGAGCATTTGACAAGAAAGGAGAGGAGGTAACTGAATAAATTCACACATCTTATTCCAAATTACATTTAACAATATATTGACTTGGCCAGCCCTGTTAGGACAAAGGGAAACTTAATCAGATCTGTCTTGTTTGCCAGCCTTGTCCTCATGGCCTTCATTGTGGGAAAGTATCACCTCTGCATCAGCTGTGTCCCTCTGCTACACAGCTATCTCCTGTCTGCACAGTGGCTTCAACCACATACAGTATTTCTTCAGATTCCTAACATAAATAGCATCCACATTTCCTCCATCCAAGCTCGCTTCTCCTCGATGTAGCCTTTCACACCAGACTTGAATCCTGTGGATGCTTTGCACCTATGGCACCCTTTCCCTTAGAAAAACAGAAGGTTAAGTGAGGTGCTGAGTAGAGAGGCAATGGAGGCATTTTTGGTATGGATTTGTAACAGACTTGGTCATTAACCTTTCATGACTGGAATGCCTGGCCATGCTCATGTAGAGCACATTCTGGGTTCTAGCCCAGAATAGTTCAGACGTGTTTGATTTTGAAATTAATGGGACTGTCCTGTAGCTGAGCATTGCCAAGAAATGTCTTGAAAAGTTCAAATAGCCACCTTTACTTTCATTTCATTACTGAATTTCATCCTCCAGGTGATAAGAAGTCATCTACCAAGCACATGATGCTAGGGTACCTCACAGGTGCCAGCTCTTGCCACTGGGTTGATTCTTCACAGAGAAGATCAGAGATGGTGAAGGAGATAAATAAATAAATAAAGAGAAGCCTTAGGTTTCTGTTCAATCTGCATATATTTTCTTTCCAAATCTGCAAATAAATCTGCTTTTCTTTCAGCAACGGGAGAAAGAATGGCTATTTACATATTTACATGTCATTCTAGTTCATACTGTGTGTTCATCAGGGTGTGATCAAGGGCAGAATATAAAAGCTTCTCCTTGTCACGTTCTGCCATAGTAATGGGAGTCGAGTTGTTTTGTCTCCTGCAGTCAGAAGGCACATGCAAAGACCTGTAATTTCTTAGAAGAAAGACTGATCGACTGATTAAAGCAACTTCTAGATGTTCACTATTAGTCGAAGTTATGAAATGGGTTGATTTAGAAATAGGAAGGAGACTCTAAGAAATCCCAAGAATAATATAATGGTGATGGGTTTGGTCCCTGTGATCTGTGAGTGTGCACACCAAGTGCTGTTGGTTCTTTAGAAGGAATGTCAATTGCAAGTGGCAATTTGTGACAGTCCTTACTAAAATAATTGTGCCGCCTTACAACCGTACTGCCTAAAAATATCCCTGTCACCACTGTGGGGAGTACAATAACAGGAGCAAGGAAGTGAAATACAGCATATATTTATTGGTAATCTCATGAAAACAGTCTTGGTGTTTTTTGGCATTGACACATTGGAAGATGTTGTTTTAGAAGCAAATTTCCTCTCCATTGATGTAGAAGAATTAAAATCCTTTAGCAATCACTTTTTACACAATTTTGGCTCTACGTGGTTTGTATCACTGCCTTCTCACCTCCTTTTCTTTCTTTCTTTTTTTTTTTTTTTTTCAGTTCTCCTGATCTTGCGATTCAGGACCAAAATAGTTAATCTCTTCTTTTTGGCAGCATAGCTCTGAATTTGGCCAGAACTCAGAACATGGAATTGCCCCTCAGAGCTGGGAAAAATTAATCTTAAAGAAGTTTGTCCTTTAGGTATTTAGAAACTGGCTTATGCTTTAAAGCATTTAGATTTTTCTTTTTTTCCTATATGCTGTTTGTCTGATTTTTTTTTTGTAAGGTAGTTAGCTTTGCTGTGTTTAAATGTAGGTGTAACTACTGCTTTCTAAAAATTATATTAGTTTCAATTATAGTTATAGTTTGTGTATTGCCTAAAGGCAAATCTTAGGCTTTAAATCATTGTCTTGCAACTCCTTTGAAAAATTGCTTGTTAACAGAGAGCAAAGAGAATTCCTAATCTACTTACTCCACAGTAGGAATTATTTTCTACATCTTTAGCATGTCCCTCCTTTTTGACTCTTCTCTAGGAAAAAAAAAAATGTTCTTCAAGCATTCACTTGTACAAGCTATTTTAGACTGTAAATTATTAAGCCTTTGAACTCTGTTGAGCCCATTTAAAACTTTTTGAACCTATATATGTTTGAGAGATGGTAAGTATATTGCAGGCTACCTGAGCACTGAAGCACTTGTAATGTATTTACGGTATTTAGGCACCCGAATTTTCTATATGCGTTTTGGATATGTTAGCTCATTCCACAAAAATTTCTTGGGACTGCAAACAGCGATATGAAGTTACCTTCCTTCCTCAGTACAGAGAACTCATTTAAAAGAGAATCTTAGAAGGCACACAAATAGTGCACATAGTGCAATAATAGTGCACAATAGATAAGGGTAATTTTGCATTAGTTTCTGTCGGATTTTATCTGCTGTTCATTTCATTCAGTTCAGGTTGCTGCTTCTGAAGTTTCTATCTCTCTTTTTTTTTTTTTTCCTCCAGTGTGGGTTAAAGAAAGCATTTTTGTGCAATCTTCAATTTTGCTCAAGTGGTCATTCTTCTTTACAATCTGTCAATAAATGCTTTATGAAATTGTCTTCATGTGGAGTTTTCAGGGACCTTATAGTTAATCTTCAACAATATGCCTAAAGGTAACAATGGCTAGTGGTCATTTGTTTTCTCTACATTACCCCTTACTAGTCTATGGTAGTAGTATGCTTTTCCATTGGAAAAACAGGTTAATCAGTAATTAATAAGCAGCTATAAATAATAAGGCAGTAAGTAATAAGTAATAATTTATACTCTGACATTTAAATCATTTTCAGAAACGTATCTTAAGAGGCTAGGCGACATATAAAAACATATTAATTTGTTTACGGTTTTTATTGAACTTTTAAAGTATTTAAACAGGGAAAAGAAGTTCTATTTTTTAATATTAAGAGAATGATATCACTGTATCTCTTGAACATTTTAATTTTAATTAGATCCTCAGTGTTGTTTTAGTGCAAACTGGAGAGATTTAATTTTGTGTGAGTTCTAGATGATTCTTAAATCCTACTGAAAAATAGATTCAAACTTGTCATTCTTCAGCTTACTTGTAACAGTGACAAATTTTAATAAGAAATATAATCATTTGCATTATAATCTTTTTACATTTCTGAGGAACTCTTGGATATATGACATGTAGGCTGGGTGATTTGTTTATTTAATGAGCTACATATTTCAATGTATTATCTCTTGATGCTTGTACAGTAGCATGGATTTACTGTGAATGAGGGAGGTTTTGTTTTTCAAGGGTACAGTTATCCAAATAACTTTGGTCAGAATTTCTATGGTCAAAGCACTGTCATGGTCACAGCTGCATTATCATTGGATGGGCAGAAAGACCCCAAATATTTTAACTATGATAAGTCATGTTAATAGAAAAGAAGAAGCATTTCCAGATCATCTTGCATGATAAAGCTGAATGCAAAGAAACAAGCACTCATTTCACAAAAATTTTGATCTTTTTTAGTTCTTCTTTTCCCTGGCAGATTTCCTCACATACTTCCTGCGTCTGACCTACATGGAAACTCTATTTTTGTTTACAGATTTAGTTATTTCTCTTTCAATTTCTGTCTTATTGTAGCTTGGATTTCTAAGAATTTCCTTTGCAAAGGGGTAAAAATAAATACTTTTATCCTGTTTTACAAGAAAGCTACCAGAGTAGGATTTCAATATTCTGAATGAAAGATCTTGTTCATGTCACTTTGGGGATCTCATCAGCTAGTCAAACTGACACACTTAAATTTCCTGTTGTCCTTTTCCATTTGCAATTAAATATGCCTTCAGACTCTGTCAATATTTGCAGGCTAAATCTATTTTTATTTCTTTCCATTCTAATTCAGGATCTTTTCCTGATTGCCTTCTTTTATTTTGTTTCCATTCAGAATTTCTGTGTTGTTGCAGTGGCTTGTGTACCTGTTCCCGCTCAAAGATATCAAACTTAATATCATAACATTAGACAGAGGATTACATTTTTAGCTTACATTTTTAATCAGCTTCTATGGTTTTTTTTTGGATTGTGTTAAGAACAGCCAGTCTTTAGCTGTGCTATAGAAGTAGCTATCCTAGAAGCAATCATTTTAAGATTCTCCTTCTGCAGAGCCTATACAATACTTTGACTTTTATATGCCAATAATTTTGATATATTTTTAAAACATCAAGTGTATAAAGTCTTGCAGGCTGCTTTGAATGGGGAAGTTCATATTGGAGAAGACAGATATAAACTGCCCGGCCTTAACACTTCCTTGTGGAGTTGGTAAGTGTGCACTAGTGGGGGGATATTTGCACTTGGGTCCTCTTCTGAACTGCTCCTGGGGAGGTCTTCTAAAGACAGCAAGCTAGCTGTCCTAAATCAAGGTGG